GAATGAGTCTTTAGGACCCAGAATGAGTCTGTAGGACCCAGAATGAGTCTGTAGGGCCCAGAATGAGTCTGTAGGACCCAGAAGGACACAGAATGAGTCTGTAGGACCCAGAATGAGTCTTTAGGACCCAGAATGAGACTTTAGGACCCAGAATGGGACTTTAGGACCCAGAATGAGTCTTTAGGACCCAGAATGAGACTTTAGGACCCAGAATGAGACTTTAGGACCCAGAATGAGTCTGTAGGACCCAGAAGGACCCAGAATGAGTCTGTAGGACCCAGAATGAGGGTTTAGGACCCAGAATGAGTCTTTAGGACCCAGAATGAGTCTTTAGGACCCAGAATGATACTTTAGGACCCAGAATGAGTCTGTAGGACCCAGAATGATACTTTAGGACCCAGAATGAGTCTTTAGGACCCAGAATGAGACTTTAGGACCCAGAATGAGTCTGTAGGACCCAGAATGAGTCTGTAGGTCCTGGTTTCTGCCTCCATCTGGACTCCAGGTCTTCAGCGTCCTCCACAGAAAGAACAGAAAGGCAGAAAAGCCTCCATTTGTTCCAGGAAGGAGGCAGCAGGTAGAACCAGGTCTGCACTAAACCAGAGAAGAAGAAGAACAAGAAAAGGAAGGATTTAGAGGGCCGTGTCACTCAGGTGGAACTGGATGTCCCACAGAACCCTGTCAAAGGGTTTCTTTGGATGCCTGTCGTTTAGGCCAGTTATATTTTTCTGTTATAGGAGACAAATATACTGATGAGGGCAGAGAATAATGTGTGTGTGTGTGTCTGTGTTTTGCAGCCCTGACTCCTCATATCAGACCATGACCAGCAAGTGGCCGTCCGTGTGGGTGAAGATCTCGTCCAGCTGGATCTGCATCGGCCTGTACGTGTGGACGCTGGTGGCCCCGCTGGTCCTGGTCAACAGGGACTTCGACTGAAGCCCCGTCGGTCATCATCTGACCCCCTAGCCCTGCTTCACCCGTGTGTGTTCAGTAACGGTAGTGGCCTAACGTGTACAGTAGATGAGAGTCGAGGTCGGAACGATTCCCCCTCAGCTCAGTTTTTTTTTTTTTTTTTCCCCCTCCCGCAGCTGTAAATATGTCCCGGACACACTTTTATCTCGTGAAAACGCATGTTTTCCTCACAGCTCTCCTTGTGTTCTACTGTAGTGTTATTGTGGAGAGCTGGAAGTGTGTGTTGCATCGGCCAGAGCTTTTCAGTCCCCGTGCATGAGCAGTGTTATTGTTGTCAGGTGCCCCCCCCCCCCCCCCCCCCCCCGCCTGCCCCCCCCCCCAAAATGCCTGCCTGCTTTCTTTTATTCCGTTAAGCAATGTATTTAGCCTTTCTGTGTAACATTGACTTGATTGCTTGAAAAACCCTAAGTTATTTGGTGGAGTAAAACATGGCTGTGTAGTTCTAAACTTTTAACCAAGTGTTCTTTTTATCTAAAAGTATGTTGCAAGTCAAATAAAATGGAGAAAAACATGGCGTCATGTGTTGTCTGGCGCGTTTGTACTGAACTTGTGAATGCATTCGAGGTGAGAAGGTGCACACCTTTGTCCCTGAAATGTTCTAAACATGTACCTGAGATTTCAGCTGCAACAGCTTTGAGAACTGTGTGAAGCATGAATAATTAGAGCCACAAACTGGGTTGTACTGGACTTTATTCCAACAGTTTAGAGGATATGCATACATGTGATTCTACACCACTACCACTGAGGCCCAAACAAATCTAGAAAAAAACCATACTACAGTTCATGTACACTCTCCTGTAACAAACCTGGACTGTGGAAAGACGTGTTGCAAAACATAAACACGAGCTGGAATAAATAGATACAAACAACAGGGTTGAGTCTGGTAGTGTCTCTGTGATGTGGAAGGGAGGGAGCGGGTGTGATCCTCTGATTCCACACACCTTCCTTCCTTCCTTTTGGACGTTTGGAATGAAGAAGTGTTGAAGTGAAGTGTGTGTTCTGGGCCCAGCGGTGGCTGCTCCACACACACACACACCTCTCCCATCACACACTCACCGTTACAGGCCCTTTAGGCTCAGGGCCGCCATGTTTCTGAGCTCTGTGGATATTCGACTGAGAGGAACCGATCAGTGAAGGAGACGCTGCTTTTTCCAGCGGTCAGGTTGTGGTCAATGTGGCTCTGCGGAGGCCGGTAGGTCACACCTCGCTCAGGCTCCTGGCCGGACTCAGCTCGCACAGGTAGAAAAGCGCGTCCTGGCTGGCCTCGGCCTCGGTCAGCGGCTGCAGCCGGATCAGGGAGCTGCGCGGCAGCGGCTTGGCGTCCAGACCGCCGTCCAGCAGCTCGGGGCCGGGGGGGGGCGGTGGCGGGGGGCCGGCGGGGCCCGGGTCCAGCTCTGCGGCCGGAGCGCAGCCGTCCAAAAAGGCCAGCAGGGGGTTGCAGGTGTACTGGACCAACTGTTTATCTGGACATAAGGCACAGTGGAGCTGAGGTCCTCTTCCTGAATCCAGACACTTTCAGCGATCAAAAACACCACTCATCATTTTCTCTATCCGTTAAAGACAAGTGCAGCCATTCCAAATGCAGGAATATATATCCTATAAACTCTTTAATACACACTGATGTTTGAAAGGTGGAGTAGAAATTAATCTGAACTCTGGTAAGACATATCTTCCTGAGACCCAAAGAAAAAAAGTGTCTTCAAATGTCTTTTTTGTTGTGATTTTCCATGTATTTGGACCTAAAAAAGAACATTACAATTTAAAAATCTTTTCATAGCATGTCCACTGTGGAGGACAACAGGGCGATTTGCATGGGAAAATAGAAGAGGCTTTAGATAATTAAATAATAAAAAAGAAGAGGTCTTGAAAGGGATATTTACCCAAGAACTCTTAGGAAAAAAAGTCAAGTTCCCAGCATGCAAACCTATCACATGGCACATCACTGGAAAGCCCAGGATGTGCTCTACAGAACACTATAGGGCTGATAGGGTAACTCCAGATACTTAGGGGGGGTACAGGTGGACAAAATGTCCACTATAATGGACATAAATGAATGGGCCGGGTCTCAGGAGGATATCAAATCTAAAGAGATCAAACAGAAACTTGTCAGCAGTGAGGGTGGAGTTATGGGCTGACCGCCTGAACGGTCAGTGGTCAGGAAATGAGCCCGGCTGCTCAGTTAAAGTCCACCTTTACGTCACCACATGCCACAGTGGACATATTTCTATGAGTTCAGTGACCACTACAGGCACCACAAAGGCTTTGATCTTTGAGTTACCTGCCGCTAACCCTGACCACGAGTAGATAAAAACAATAAAAATAAAGCAGGGAATGCTTGTGTCCAGCCTAAAGCGCGTGAAAGATGGACTCACCTGTGCAGTCCTCTGCTGTCCTGTCTTTTCCGGCCTGTGGGACGTTCTCTTTGGAAGAAACACACTCCTGGAACAGAGACAGAGAGGAAACCAACACACCACTCACTTCAAGTCAAAAGAACTGCTGGGATTTCTTTCAGAGGACAGAATTACTGAAAAGGTTCGGAATAGGAAAGCCCTGATGATTGGGATCGTGCTTAAAAGCACAAATGTCCATCGTCAGAATCAGAATCAGAATCGGGTTTATTGCCAAGTAGGTTTTTAGACTTACAAGGAATTTGCCTTTTTGGTGTTTAGTGCACAACACAACACTTCTATGAGAAGCAAGAAATAAAATGTAGAAATAAAAATTTAGGACAGAAATGATAAAACTGAAAAATACAATCTTTAAAAATATAGATCTGAATGTACAAATGAACAATCTGTTCATTGTGTTGTTGGGGTTGTAATTATCGTGTAATTATCGTGTAATTATCGTGTAATTATCGTGTAATTACGCACCACCTGCCTTCTTCTGTCTCTCACCATACGAGCTGTTTTCTACAATCAAACGATTCTCCTCTACTGAGGACCTGAGCTTTAGTGAAACCGGCATTCTTTGAGCCAATAAGAATCCGTTAGCTTGAGATGAGAGGACACGGTCCGATCAGGGTCTGGTTTGTGTGTGGTCACTTTACCCCGAGGGTATCAAAATCCACATCGAACTGCTTCTCATAGAGCATGGCTTGGAAGTCCTCCAGGCTGCAGTCAATACTGTCCAGATAGTCCATGAGCTCCAACCTGGCAACACACACACCTCAACCGTTAGGGAGTTGGTTCCCCCTCCTTTTATTCCCAGCACAAGCTTTCTGTACATACCCAGACACCTGCCAACCGACTTGATCAAGAGGTGGAAAATGACCGAGAACAGAGTGACCACTAACAGTCAAATCAAATCATGAGCCACAGTATAAAAATAAAAACAAATAAAAAAACATTCTGAGTCCATCAGCCGCACATATAAAAACAACTACGTAACCACAGTACATTCAATTTCCTAATTATCTATAGAATCTATAGAACTAGAATTTTTTTTATTTTTATAGTCCAAATGTAAACAGGAAGTGCTCTTACACCGTTTACATTGATGACCAGTTATAAAAAAAAAATGTGTTTGAATTGAATTTTTTAAAATGTTATTTAATTCGAGTCCATCAGCTGCACATATAAAAACAAATACATAACCACAGTACATTTAATTTCCTAATCATCTATAGAACTCTACCGTTTTCTTTAAAAAAGTATTCTTTTAATAGAGCCCAAATGTAAACAGGAACTGGTCTCAATTTTTTTTTACATTGCTGGCCAGTTCTAAAAAAGTGAATTAAGAATTTAATTTTTTTAGTCAAATAATGAATCATATAAAATATGATATAAATATGAATCATATAAAAGTACATATAAAAACCACTAAACAACCACAATACAATTTATTTCCTAATTTTCTGAGGCAAAGGCTACTATCTATCTATCTCTACCCCTTTTTCTATTTTTTTTTATAGAAAGAAAATTTAATTGAAAAAATGTAATTAAAAAAAAAAAGAAACCAAAAAAAAGAAAAAAAAGAAAATGAAATTCTGAGCCCATCAGCTGCACATACAAAAAAAAACTACATAACCACATTATAACTTCTTTCCCACTCATTTATAGTTCTCTACTGTTTCCTTTTTCTTTTCTTTTTTGAATGGAGTCCAAACGTGAACAGGAATAAAAACAAAACAAAAACAAAAGTGAACAGGAACTGGTCCTACATGGTTTACATGCTGACCACCTGAGTCTGACCAGCATCACTTACTTTCCCAGCAGGTTGATGTTTTGCGATATGGCTCCGTTCTCGTTCAGAATGGAGTCCATCATCTTGACCGGGTCCTCCATGCTCAGGCTGGACGCCCTGTTGAGCTGCAGGACGCTGCTGACCGGGCTGCTGACCGTCTGGCCGTCCGGCGCCGGGCTCTGCCGGACCTGGTCTGAACGGGTGGAGCACACCCCCGCCTCCGCCGGCTGCAGCCCGGAGGCCTCCACCTCCACCTCCAGTGTCTCTGCGTCCCTGGGGGGGGGGGGGGGACACCCACGTCAAACAGGACGTTTACCTGCAGGATAATTTCTTCCCTTTCCTCTGACAGAAAGTCTCCACTTTCTAAAACAGTACGGCTCCATTTCACTTCCTCACACTTTCATTTGAGTTGACGTTGCTTAGGTCTCAGTTTTATCACCAACCTAAGACAAGGAGCTATTTGTAGGAGAAAACAGAGATACTGGTTTTCTCATTCTGCTCTTTTGTTCTTTCACTTTTTAACCCATCTTCTTCTCTTTATACTTTGATGATAGTTGAGAATATGCTTAAAAAATGTAGCGCATCACACATGACCCCTTTTTTCTTCAAATAAATAGTTTGAAAAATAAAACAAAAAGTACTGCCTCGTTAAAAGTATCTATATAAAGATGTGGTGGGAAACGAAGCTGGGATCCAGATTCTGTCCTTTAGCTGCGACTGTATTACTGCTCATTTACTCTCCGTGTTGTGTGGAAATGATCTGATTCCGACATGCATCCTGGTGCACGTGTGAACGATTACAAGAGTGCAGTCACTTCCACGTTACCATAATTAACTCATTCGCTGCCAAAGACATCTATAGACGTCTTTTCAAATCCAACCGCTGACTGCCAAAGACGTCTATAGACGTCTTTTATGTTTTTCAATGCGAGTGGCTTGGGGGACGATCGGCGAAAGTTTTCCCGTAAATATCAGCTTCTAGACAGAGTATGGACTAACAAATTTACCCTCTAGGTAGCTGTGCCACTTTTGATGGGAGATGAGCATAGATTGTATGCAAATAAAAACAAACGCAATGGTTCGCTATGAGAGAACATGTCGCCGGTGAGACGCACGTCGAAGAATAACGGAATGAGGTAGAAACAAAATCTTTTTTCCTGATGAAAGAAGAGAGTCTACTCTTTCTTTTGGTGTGTTCGGTGTTTACATAGTCATAGCACAAACTATTCTGTGGCTCTTGAAAAATCAGTCAAAATTCTCAAAAAACTCTGGCAGTGAGCGACTCTCTGTTCTGAAAATGGCTGCCAGTCAATGAGTTAATAACCTTAATTAACCGGTCATTTCTGGTGCCGGTAGAACAGGAACAGGAATGGGAGGCGTTCAGATGAATTTGGTCGTTTTACCAGGTGGAATAGCACAAAGAGTCCGCCCTGTAAAACCTTTTTGTGGCAACACGACTCATGGGCGGAACCGGGCTGACCTCAAAGCCTTAAGGGGAGCCCAGAGCCTCAGCGAGGACTAAACACTCACACGGTTCAGGAAACTCTGCTCCCATCCAGAGAAACCGACAACCAAAGCTGTGAACCACACAGACCTCACAGACAGCCATCTACACACAAAGCCGCTGTGGTTAACAGATATATTTACTAAAAACTAACAAAAATGCTTTCTTAAAGTAAGTAAACCTTTGGATCTGCAGATAGTGAACCTGAGAAGGGTTCATGAGGCTCGGTGGGCTCAGAGACGAGCCCTCACCAAATCCAGATGTTGTTCATTTGTGGTCCTGCCTATTGAAATGGTCAATGAGCAGGACTTACAGTGGGGGAAATAGATTTTGCAGGTTTGCCCACTTACAAAGAACGCTTATTTTTCCTCATCAGATGGTTATCAATTTTTATAAATTCATATGATGTGATTTTCTGGAATTTTCTTTGGGATTCTGTCTTTCACTGTTAGAATGTACATATGATTAAAGTTATAGATCGTTGCATTCTTTGTAAGTGGGCAAACCTGCAAAATAAGCAAGGGGTCAGATACTTATTTCCTCCGCTGTACATAAAACAGCTTTAACTGACCGCTCTTTGAAACTAGAACCCTGAAGGTCAGACCTGCTGGTGCCACGGGTCAGAGGGCAGGCGGAGGCCATAGAAAAGATCACATCTCACCCTTGCTCCGAGGCTTTGGTTGAACCCTCCGTGCTCCCGGCGGTCACATCTGCATCACCCTCAGTCAGGTCACAGATGACCACGTCCTCCGAAACCTCCGGGCCCTTCACACCGGTCAGACCGCCGGTGCACGTCTAGACAGGACCCACACAGCCCCGGGTTAGGACAAATGACTTACAAAGGAGTGAAAACAGTCTCACGTTTTATGCAAAATCGTATCAGAACAAGCAAACTGAAATAGTGCATTAATTATAGACACAGTCCCGAATAGTCACAACATGAACCACTTCACGTTCCAACACATTTGAGCCCGTCTGAGCAGGATAAAGCATTTATTTGCTTTACTATCCATAATCAATATCCAATTAAAAAATCCGCTCATGCTTTTTTACATTCGTCTAATCCATTTTAACACTCTGTGTAAAGCAAAATAGCCAGAAGAGGCTAAGAGACCATTTTTCTGAGTCATGGACTTCGTCGGGGATCTGCATCCATCAGGTTCCATTATTACATAATACACATCTACCATTTCCTGTACTCTAAAAAACAAAACCCCTGAATACCTAGCTGAATTCTATGGACATGAACACCCAAGGAAGAAAATGTCTACATATATAGTTATTCTAGATGGCTTTTCTTTGGCTTCTTGTCATACAGTGGAGAATCTTTATTTCAATCAGAATCTGTCATTTTACTAATATAAAACACATTTCCAGGACTGACTTTTTCCCCCTAATAATATCTCCAAATGATTGAACATCCTGTCTCAGGGTGATACAAAAAAATCACCCTGAGAAAAAGTCATGAGAAAAATCATAGATAAAACAAAAAGTCTTAGACTGAGGGAAAACTCTACTGACCTGTTCGCACACTTTGTCGTCATAAATCTCGTGAATGTATTTGGGCTTCTTTCCATTGCCGTTCAAAAGAATTGGCCTGTCCAGACGAGACACAAACACTTACTCAGTCAGTGCTAAACTTCGATTATGTTACCAGAGAATTGCACGTCTTATTCCTCCATTAAAAGAATAAATTCAGTGGGAACAAAGTATGCAGAAATGGTCAAACAGAACAATAAATAAAGAAATCAACACATGCATAGGATCAAAGTCGGTTCATACCACCACAGGTACTTTTAGATCTTATCAGTACGGCACTTAATTTGGTGAGCAGGAACCGTTATTTGTATTTAACATTCCACCAGGAAGAGGGATTTTAAAGGTCCATATGAGCTGCCATTATTATCCCAACTAAAAGACATCATAAAGTCTGGACTGACCTTTTGCGTTTTAAGTTCAGAATGCGGTTGTTCTGCGCCAACGTGATGATAAAATGTATCAGCTGGAAAAAGGAGCAGTCAGATAGATTAAAAGAAGTGAAAAGAAAAAGATAGGGTTGAATTTTAGCCCTGAGAATCACTGTCTGGTGGTGGAGCGACACTCCCTTTCTGGTTGGTGAATATCAGAACTGCTTGTGGCGAGTCCACACATTCGTAATTATTATTAACTTGAAGCAAGAATCCCAACGCAGAGCTCATTCGGTGGTTGGTTGATAGTAGGTTTTCCAGGTGAAAGAACTGGGTTGGTACTCACCTTCTTGAGGAGCTGCTGTTGGTGAGCATGCTTCTGTCTCAGGTCTGAGATCTCCCTCCATAGAGCCTCATTCTCCCTAAAGAGCAAAAAACAGCTTAGCGACACAGGACTTTGTTCCCAACTTGTGATCAGAGGGTATTGTTCCATACAGTCCTGTCCATTTGCACTCATGGGAATCTCGGAATAGTTGGAAATTTGTTTTGTTTTTCTGTACACATTCCCTTGAATTTTTGGGGACATCCTAAGAAGAAGTTCACCCTCACCTTTTGAGTGTTTCAAGCCCGGCGTCAATGCTCTCCTGTTTGCTGTGAACACTCTGAACGCTGGCCAGGATTTTGCTCAGGTCCTCCTGTCGGATCTTATTGTCTTCAGGCCGTGCATTTGAAACCTGTGACACAGAGGTTAGGACTTTCAAAACAGAAAGGGCAATGAAAGTAACTGAAGGGACATCCGAGTTTTAGCACAACATTAACATATGGGGGCAGACTAGCTGACACACTGTCTGCCCACTCTGAATGTGAAGAGATCAAATTAAGCCGACATGGGTTTGTTTCTGAAAAAAGTAACCTGTAACATACAGTTCAAAGCAAATGTTTTTTTGTGCTACAAACAAATGGACCACACTCAGCGCGTATTTCCCTAAATACATAAATTAAACTATTATGCCCCAGTGAGAGAGGCTGACCAACACGTCATTGGGGTCATCAGTGGGAACTTCCTTTGGCTCATGACTCCTCCAGGAGGCTAGACAGTGATCACTGGCATCCCAGAGTCACTCCCCTAATGCAAGCCATCACTGCTCCTCACACCACAATAACTTCTTCTACTTCTACTGCTGAAAGTCAGAGTCAAAAGCACTCCGACTAGCCACCTCAAACCAAGTGCTCCGGTAAACACGAGGGGGATGCAAACCCCGGTTCAGGTAAGGGTAAGAAATAAAAGAGGTAAAGACTAAAGTAAGAGGGGATTCAAACACTGGTTTGGGAAGGGGGTCATGGAAATATGGAGGCTGGACAGGACACACTCACAGATTCAGCAATCAAACAGATCCAATCAGCAGACAAAACGCCTAAACAACAACTAAACCAAACCGAATTGCTGCAAGAAATACTAAACGATTCTAAAAGACCCGTAACAAATCCCAAAAAGTCCCACAGGCAGTAAGAATATCAACAAATACAAGGCCACACATGAACGACTCATCTAAGATGGCCGCCTAGTTTCACGCGTAAGCAGGCTATCCCCCCCCAAATTATATACTCTTCATCTTCCTGGATTTATTCCTCGTCTCCCCCAGGTCTGTATCTCCTAAGTGCACCCCCTGCTGACTGGACCTTATCGGACATGTCTACTCTGTCCACTTACACCCAGCCCCCACAACAATCAGACAGCAGACTTTGAATAAAGTATTTTTCTGTTTCTATGTTCCCAAAAATGGCGTGCGCAAGTCAGGACCTACTAACACTACAATAATATGATTCATCAGTCTAAAACTCTGAACAACATTATTTTTAGTACAAACTTTGCCAGAACCTGAATATAGTTAGGATCGTATGTAGAAGGCTTTAATATAGATATATCCATCATTACAATAATAAACTGTGGGCAGAAAAACACAATTTCTGAGAAAATGCCACACTGACCAGATGTGTTTTATTACACCTAAAGGTGTAAAAGGGTTCCTATTAATTATTGGTGTGACACTGATTTTAGCTAGTTGGTGAAGTTACATTTAGTAGCAATCACTGAGAAAAACCACTAATCCTTAGCTTGCTTGATTTTTTTTTTCTTTATGTTGCACTGACCACTACTTAAGGTTAGCTTCCTAAGGACTAGGGTTGTCAAAAGTATCGATACTCAAAAAAGTATCGATACTAAAATGTTGTATCCGGATACGATACTCATTTTCAAAAGTATCGATACTACCGCGCGAGCGCGCGTGCGCGACGCTGACCTGCGTCGCGCGCTGACCTGCCGTCGCTGCCCCCCCTTCTCTCAGATTTATATGTATGTTTTTACGTTGTTTATGGTCATTAACAAGTTGTTAGCCTTGAACTGCTAGCTTCGGCTCACGGCTAATAATAACGTGCTACCATTAATTAAGTACATATCCGACTCCGCCCACATCCAAGTCGGCCGTTATAATTACATTAACAATAGGATGATTCCAGGCAAGAAAATCCTAATTTCCTCATGGCAATATAGAGATTCATTTAAAAATTGTAAAATTAATCTTTCAAACACTTAAACTCTACACATATTATTATGTTAACATAGTGTATATTAAATAGGTTTGTACAATAAGTCCAAACAAGTTTAACCAAAAAATATTTATTTCTCACAATTATGAAGGGTGGAGGGTTAGGGTCAGGTTTGGGTCAGGGTTAGGGTCAGGGTTAGGGTTAGGGTTATTAATGCAGCCCACCAGATATCATCAGTAACAGGTCAGTTTGAAATGAAAGACACTAACCTGTCAAAATTCATTTAAATTTTGGGGTCTTTTTTTAATCCTTGTGGTATCGAAAATGGTATCGAGTATCGAGTTTTTTCCTGAGTATCGGTATCGAGTTGAAAATTTTAGTATCGTGACAACCCTACTAAGGACTGCTCACTATAGTATTATATTTTGGAATTTTCAGAGTTTGGAGCTTCTTAAAATGATGAGGGCTTCATGGTCTCAGTTACCCAGTCGGATCACTCAGTGATGTCTTCTACCAAGTCTCTGGAGTAGTGTGGCACATACCACACAGGGGCCAAAACACAGGAGGTTTTCTGTTCTCATCACACACATCTGCGTGTGTGTGTGTGTGTGTGTGTGGGGACTGGAGGCTCCACTACAGCTCAGAGCGAGAGGATGAGTGACGATTTACCTTCCTCTTGATGTTCTCCAGCAGGTCGTCTTGTCCATGTTTGAAGTAAGGGTGCTGAAACTCCACCGGACCATCTTTCTCCTGTTTAACAAGGCCCGTATCGATGTGCATCACCTTACGGAATCCATCTACACAGACAAAATACAGACACACAGAAATACAAAATACAATCATTATGATCAGGCACATCATGGTGCTGGGAGGAGAACAAGCTGACACAATGACTGACAAAAGGATCTGGACCTGCTAGGCAAAGCTAAACCTAACTTTTTTTATGGCAGACAACGATCATCTTCCTGCTGCGCTTTGCCTGCAGAAAGGAACGATGCAGGGATGCATTTTCTTTATGCATGTTAAAGTACTGCTATGTCACGAAGGGTTTCCCACATTTAGGGAGAATACTCCCCTGAGAAAGTAACGACTATGAAAAAGCTCAGAAATTCCTACAAAACAAATGGGACATGTCCACTCCTCATGACCCATGTTAAGTCTAACAGATTAGTTCTTGAGTCTAAGTACAATTTTGGCTCTTCAAATTCACAAAGCATCAGAACACTTAGGCATGTAATGACCCAGAGATACTGGAACTCCTCCACCTGGGGCAGGACCTCCCACTGAAGAGGACACTGGACCAGTGGATTTAGATTTGCTTTTAAATTACTTTACTGCAATTTTTTACAAGTTTCATTTGTTTTTACCAGGTAGCAAATACTCTGTATTTCAGTCAGTGGCATGGATGTGCATAATGTACATATATACATCTGCACACAGTTGTATGTATGGAAGTGAGTGCAGTGTTTTTTCTCCTTTCAGTACATCAGTATATGATTCCGTTAAGGAAGGCCTTTTAACTCTTGGAAGGTGAGCTATAAGATTATAACATCTATTCAACTGGGGTGGATAGACTTTTCATTGCGTGAAAATATGACATCTGCAAAATCGATTTACTCCATAGGTCACTCGGTTCAATTAAAAGCTTAAAAACAATCCAGAAAATAATGCTTCTTAAGTTCCGCCTGCTGTTTTTTACCCCCAGTGAATGCAGATGTGATGCCATAGAGGCTGCTGAGGTGGTAAAGGCCCACTTACACATGTTCAGCTGCCTGATGAAACTGGCCATGTTGTTATGCTTGAAGAACTTGGGGAGGATCTCCTTGGCGAAGCGCTGTTCGTCCAGAACTAGGAAACTGTTGCCCTCCTGGAAACGACAGGTGGGAGTTTTTAAGACATGCATGTGACAACTATTACAATCCAGCAGAGCCAGGGGTGTCCAGACTCCCAGCAGGAAGTGGGAGAGTTGGTGGTGTATGCCTTTTTTTAAGATTGTTCATTTGTACATTCAGATCTATATTTTCAAAGATTGTATTTTTCAGTTTTATCATGTCTGTCCTATATTTTTTATTTCTACATTTTATTTCTTGCTTCTCATAGAAGTGTTGTGTTGTGGACCAAACACCAAGGCAAATGCCTTGTAAGTCTAAAAACCTACTTGGCAATAAACCTGATTCTGATTCTGATTCTAAAGAAGATTTCTAACAGAGGAAAATATGTGTGCCTCCAAATGGAAGCACACTGAAAACTCCAAGTGTAGAAGTGGTTAAAGCCCCATAACCAAGTGATTGGTTCCCTTAATCTACCGAAGTTTCTCTCAGATGAGACCACAAGCACAGGTGAATGGAGCTCTAATGTTAGCCTTTGGTAAAAAAAATCACATAGTGACTCAGCGTCCTAACCCCGGGGACGCCCTCCCCAAGCTTGTCTCACAGACTCCGGCCACAACCAAGCGAGCCGCAGCTACTTGACTGTTGCCTTTCAGCCCCAGTTTCCATTCTTTAAAACGCTTTATGGAAAATTCGACCAACTCCCGCTGCTTAAGGTTGAGGTAGAATAGTCCGTTCATAACCTCGACTGTGGTAAACCGCGAACAATAGCCGTTGGCTTGGGGCTAGCTTAGCCCATTAGCATGGTAACGGTGTTTGGCGTTACCTGACTCCAGCAGATGAACTCGTTGGTGTCCGAGTCCTCGACCAGCGTCCACAGCTTGGTCAGGAATGCCGGGACGTTTGAGCTGTTCTTCATCTTTCTCCAGTTGTTCACAAATACTATTTGACCGATACGTGGCAGATGAATTGTCTCGGTTGTAGAAGGAGAGCCACTGGCTGCTTTGGGGAAAAATGCGAAGAGCTGACGACTTCCGGTTCTGACGCGGGGACGCGATTGGTCGAAAACGATTTTACGTAGGACTCCTCACGTGGAGTTCCATGAGTTCCAGCATTTGTTTTGTTTGGTCTTTTTTTGTCCTTCGGGGGGCGCTATTACTATGGAAAATATTAATTGGAGGGCCAAATACCGAAAGCATTGGGCCCACCTTTTATTAAAAAGTACTACTCCGCTTTTAGCGTTCGTTGCGGAAGTCCCAGGGCTCAGGTTGGGGTCCATTATATATTTTTAAACATCCTGAAACTTTTCTCCGCTTATTTGACATTGCCATAAAACGCACAAGGTTCCAAAGTTTTTTTCAGATTGAATTTGTATGACTTAGCCCTATAAAGCCAAATATATCATATTTGATACGGTTTCTGAGGTCTTTTGGATCTGAGACTTTTTGCATCATTCAGTGGTAAAAGCTTTGCTCAAACCCCTGTTGTACACGTTCAGATATACCTGATAACTACACCAAAATATATTTTTGACTTATTGCACGCTAATTTGATCCAAATAATTTCTGTTTTTTTTTCTTCATATGTTGTTGAAGGGCCAAAGAAAGACTTCAGACCTAAAAAAATCCAATATTCTTCCTATTTTTCTTGGATCAGGCTTTAAAGGGTTAGAATAGATGCTTGCTCACTCAGATTGAACTAATTCTGGTTTGAATATGTTTTTCAGTTCAACACAGATGTCATGCGCTCGTAGAATAGGTTTTTCTGCGCTCAAAATCTGCCTTGGTTCCTTACGATTATGGCACAAATATAACACCTCTTAGACTTCCAGATTTTGAGCATGGGTTCAGACTTGGGGGCAAGTAATTTTTTCTAGAGTGGGCTGAGAAAAGGGCTCCACTATCCTGCATTTTTAGAGGTTTCCCTGCTTCTACACACCTACATAAGATCAAATGTATAACCTCTGTAGACCGTTAAGCTCTGCACGGGACTGCTGATGTCGTGTTGATATGAATCAGGAGTGTTTAAGCAGGAAAAAAGCTTTGAAGCCTGCAGGACGGAGACCCTGGAGGCCCATGTTTCCCACGCCTGGCCTAGAGTGTGAGTTGGTCCCTGACACCAGACACACACACTCACACGACTGGAGTTTATGAGACTGCAAGGGAGGAGTTGGGATTCTACAAGCAGGCTGGGTCTGAGCTGGAACAACCCCATAATGTTTTACTACTACTGTGCTTTTCCTGTAAAAGAAGTGTAAACCGTCTGTAAGACTGTACTATTGGTGCTTTTACCACTAGTGCCGACTCAGTGCTCTTCACGGTCTTTGTTTACTTTTAACGAAAATTAAGTTAAGCTTAAAATAAAACAAACGACAACTTCTGGCACCCTGGGCAGGTATCGTACGCAGGCAAGAAAAATGATTTAAGTTCCACGCAGAATTGTCCTCGAGGCTGGTTTATTGCTGTTTCAGGTGAGCAAACAATTATCTTGCGCTGGTAAAAAAAAAACCATGTGTCCACTACCCAGGTGCATACAGGTGTGGTGCCACTAAACATGAAGCAAAACAATTAATTAGACGAATTACAAAAAGAATATTACCAAAATATGAAACTATCACTAATGTAAACAAATTCATAATAAATAAAAAAATCAACAGAATTACCACAACTCAAAGTAAAAGTGCAAGATGGCTCCCACGGTCTTTTTACATTTCCACTAGGGGCATGCCCCTCTGGTAGTCTGAGTCTTTTTTCTTGAATGCCTGAGAAGAAAACAGAGGAATTTTCAGAGTTCAAATGTATTATTTATCACAGGTAAAGTCAATCAGCACTCTGACAGAGTTCCCTGAGGATCTAAATCGGAAAGAACCAAATTTTCTGGGTCCCATGGACAGTTATCTTATCGGCCTGGGCCTGCCTCCTACATGTGAAAGGCTGGACATAACAAAACCGAGTTTTATTGGCCAATAACCTCTCACATCAACAGGCCAGCTCCTAATTCATGCAGATTCCGTTGAAATGTGATAAGAAAAGGGTGCGTGTGCGTGTGTGTGTGTGTTGTCCTTGAAGATGTGTATCTAATGCAATAGAAAGAGGAGGATTCTGTGAGTACAACCAGGGAGTTATATTAGCTCAGTGTCAGAGTATACTTCTAAAATGAATAAAACCATTTTTAATTTACAATAATTCAGTGATAAAGTACAACTCTCAAGTGACCCCGCCCTCCTTGACATAATTTCCCGCGGCCTAGCCGGTTTACTTGGCCTTCACTGAGGTCTCGTGATGGACTCCCTGGAGGATGTAAGGTACAGTAAGGTACTAAGAGCTCTTTAAGATAAGATGGGGCCTGACCATGAATAGCTTTGTTTGTAAGAAGAAGGATTTTATATTCTATTCTGGATTTAACAGAAAGCCAGTGCAGAGAAGCCAAGACAGGAGAAATATGATCTCTTTTTCTGGTTTCTGTAAGAACACGCGCTGCAGCATTCTGGATCAGCTGAAGAGTCTTAATGGACTTTTTCGAAGAGGCTGATAGCAGGGAGTTGCAGTAATTCAGCCTAGAACTGACAAATGCATGGACTAGTTTTTCTGCATCATTTTTACACAGGATGCTCCTGATTTTAACAATGTTACGTAGGTGAAAGAAGGCGGTTCTTCAAATTTGCTTAACGTGAGAGTTAAATGACATGTCCTGATCAAAGATATCTCCAACTTCCTCTGGCAAGTGTCTCGATTTTAAATATTCACCATGTGCTATCTTGTTAGTTAAGCTCATATATAACACACAGTATATAAATATTTACATGCTATTACATAAAAACTAAATAATGTAATGTTTGAGTTAAAGAGCTTGAACACAGGGAAGAGGTTTCAAAAAGGTTTATTTGAATATGAAATGAGATGGAATGTATGATATTGACAGAAGTCAAGAAAAACTAGCAAAGATGGGAAGAACCCAGGACCCTTAAGTAGGGAACAGGTAGTGGCCACAACCAACTCAAATCAATTGGTAAGGATCAATTACACACTTGAGGTTAGAGCTGAGGGAAAGAATTATAATGAGGCTCAACAGGCACAATAGCTCTCTACTAAACTTTAACTTTCTCCATGTTTGTCAGCTGGTTTATCTTATCTTATTTTGCTTTGTGTCCAAAAAAACCCACAATGTGTATAGTTATAATCTATTCCCCAGCAATAATTTCTAGGTTTGAATGATGTGTTATTGAGTTGAATTAGACATTTGTGAAAGTGGAAGTTACGTCTTTGCCACTAGATGGAACCATTTGTTTATTTCAACACGGTTCTGAACTGAATTGCTGGTGCCACAACTGTAATGTGTGTGCTTTTATTACTGTTGGTCTATTCGCTATCTATACAAAAAATGCTGCATATGTGTTCTTCCAAACCTGCGCCATTTTTTCTTCTGTCAGACCAGAAAGAAAGTAGTTTGAGAGGTTTTTGGTGGAATTTAAAAAAAAAATTGTTTCCCCTGACTGAACAACTAAAATGTTTCTTCTTAAACATATTTTCTTTGATGTATTCATGTCTAACATGTAAGAATCCTCTCTGTTGTGTGACTTGTTTTCAACTATTTGCGACCAGTCACATGATTTTTATCATTTTGATTGCTAAACCATTACAGTTCAAATATTCTTAGCTGTGTGTACTCCTAGCATTTAGTGCATGATATTTATGAATCCTTGAAGGTGAAAAGTTACAACCAACAACATACAATCTCCATGAAGGTAAGACTTGAAAGGCCTAATTTCAAAGAACCGGTAAGTGGCTGGGCCAAAATATCTGGCTATTATATACATCAGTGCTAAGTGAGGTTGACAAGCGCTGAACTAATTGGATGGTGGGTACTATTACATCAAAAGATGTCACCCGCTCCTTTAAAATGGCTGTAATTACTCCACTCTTAAACACACACATAGAGGAGATTATAGTAGATCAGGAATCAGAGTACATTACAGCATCTTTAGTGATGCATTCAAGGTTGCATCACCTGGGTGAGGTTTCATTTCAGAATGCAGAAAGCCTGAATTCTGTGCTGCTTTGTGAAAATGTGAAGCTAATCTCTTGTTTGCTCAGATAGAAACACAGTAAATAACACACTACATACACAACAACTTACAATTTTCAGAATGTCTTTTGAAGGGTAGTGTACATGCACCTCTGTGTTCATTAACAGGATGGCTCAAAAAAAGGTTAAAAAAATCTATTAGACAAAAAAATAAAAAATAAAGTCTTCCCTAGAAGCCCCACAGGAAAGAATGAATATTAATGCAGCCCACTGTATTTACATAGGAGATATCTTTATCTCATTTCTACAAATATCACATATGGACATTTGAATGTGTATTTTGTATGTATTGAATGTTGTTTTATATGTACAATATACAAATATACCTGCACATTGGAAAACAACTAAAATAAAATCCATGTTCAAATCCAAATTGGAAAAACACATAACCCACCCAAATATATATTCTAAAGATTTAAATACATAGGATGTAGTTAAAGTTAATAATTGGAATGTATGATTTTCCTGAAGTGTATTTTTTCAATCAATGTTTTTTTTTCTAATTTAATATAGTGGTGATGAGATAATTCAGTGATCTCATGTGCTGTTGGTAAATGATTGCTTTTTTCCCCCAGTATGAAGTCAACCAATAACACGTGGAGAGTATTTGCTAAATCACCGCCAATGATGCATGCCAGGTTTCAATTAAACTGACCATGATCTGTTAACATTTTACTGAGCTCTTCCTCTGAGGCCAAATCGTTTCAAACAGTCTAGTTGGGAATAGGCCTTAAAAACCTTGGATTGTTGTTCTCTTTCGTCAATAAGGAATAATGACCAATAATAAAACTAAGTAGGACTCTTCTAATTTAGTTAAAAGCCATTTTTTCTCCAGGTTTTTTGTAGTTTGCTTTGAGGTCCATAATTTTGATTCCAGGATTCCAGCACATGTGTGTTTGTATGTGTGGGTATGAATGTTGACTTAGACATAAATTAAATATACATAAAATCT